TTCCATATCCCCAGATGTTTCCCTCCCACCAGGTCACTCCTGGAAGCACCCCCAAACTCCCCCAAATCGCCCTAACCACACAGCCTTACCCTTGCTGATCATGACAGGAGTGTGGGAGCTGGGGGGTGGGACGCTTTTCTCCTCCTCCTCCTCCTCCTCAGCCTGAGGGGGCTCCACGAAGTAATCGTCCACTGGCTGGGGGAAAGACTCCACCTCTTCCTCATCCTCTCCTCCCTCTGCTGTGGCCCCCAGGGGCCAGGACCGGGTAGAGGGGTCACTGAAGGAGCAGAAGACTCAGGCGGTAAGATCTCCATATAGACTCCCAGGCTTCCATGCCCTGCCTCAGGAGCTCTGGGGAGGGTGGGTCACTCACCCAACTGCCATCCGGGAGGGGTCGGGAGTTGCTGGAGGGGGGCAGCATACATACTCCACACCTCGAAACCGATCAGAGCCACAGGGCAAAAGCATGCCGGAGCCATGCAGGATGAGACCCTGGGAGCTGCAGGCCTGCAGGAAGACAAGGCCAGGGTGACCTGGTTGGAGGGTGTGGACAGGGAGCCTGGATGCTGGGTTCCAGGGCAAGGGCTGAGGGATGGAGTGCCTACATCCCAGTTGGAACTCTGGGGTTCTGGAAGGGAGCGCCCCGATCTACGTCCTGGGGTTAGGAGACAGGTGGAGCCTGGTCCTCACCTCCTGCGCCTCCTGATGCCTCCTGCTTGAGCTCTCACACTGGTCCATACGCTCCTGGTGCAAGAACCGACAGCCTTCAGGCACCAGCAGGGCTTCACTGACGAATTCACCAGCTGGGGGGATGGGAGACACCAGAATCATAATAACCCCGCCCCGTCCTCCTCAGAGGTGTTGCTGCCCATCACCCCGACTTCTCACAACCTCATCTCCGAGAGGTCCCACTTCACCTCCGTTCCCATCCCCCCCCCCAACAGGTGACTCACGCAGGCAATGGAAGGGCACAACCTCATGGTGGGGGTGGGCACATCGGCCGCTTCGGGTGCCCCCACACCAGCGCTCCATTGGGATGGCCTGTGCGGCCTGCTCCACGCGTGCTACGTGTAGCTCTGGGTACATCTGTGGGAACCCGGAAGTGGAGATCAGCCTACTGGCTACCCCAGTACAGGGGATTGAAGGCAGGGCCTCATGGACGCCAAAGCAAACACTCTATCACTGAACTGCTTGCCCAGCCCTCTTCTTACTGTTTCGTTTGAAAACGGTCTTCCTAAACTGGCCTTGAACGTCCTGTAGCCTAAGCAGGCCTTCAGTTCGCGAGCCTTCTACCTTAGCCTCTCCAACAGCTTGGCCATTCCCTTTTCAAGTTGCTAGTATTCATAAGAACATCCCCGGGCCTTCCTCTCTTGTCATGGCACTCACGGGTAACTAAGCCTCCGGTGCGGTGCCCACCCTCACCATGCTCAGGGGTCTTGGTGGAAGTCCCCAGGCCTGTTCATGAAGCTCCCCTTCTCAAGCCCATTTCCAGGGCAACCCTGCCCTTCAATCATGTTTCTTTCTTAAAACATCTCGCCGTCTCTCTCGTGCCCTGCCTTTTTCTGTTTAGCTTCTAAGTAACTCTTCTCTTTGTATTGGCCCCGCCTATTTATCTCCCGCCCCCTCCTAGGAACCCACTGTCTTTGGGTTCCCGCATCTTGTTGGTTTAAAGGTCTTTTTATCTAAGCCCAGCCTCTCGTCTGGCCACGCCCACTTACACTCCCACTTTTTCTAAAAAGCTCCACGGATTCCTAAACCCTGCCACTCTTCAGGCGATCTTGATTAGTCGACGTTTTTGCAGTTTGTCCCCCCCCCAATATCTCAAAATAGGTTCCACGCGAGCCCCGCCTCGCTTCCTCGCTGGCCACAGACCCCGAACTTCCCCAGGCTTTCCAGACCTCACCTCCCAGGACTCAAGTCTAGCTCCCTCAAGGGCGACCCCGCCCCAGCCTGGACCCACTGACCACTGACCACGCCTCTGCCCGAGGGTCCCGCCCACCTGTCTGCAGTACTCCAGCACTCGCTGCGGGTCCAGGAGACAGCGTCGAGATCGCTGTGGGTCTGGTTCCCAGCGGCCGGTGCGCAGGTCCCGGTGAAGGGTTAGACGCCCACATAGTCCAGCCACTTGGGCTGACCCCGGAGCCTGGGAGTGGAGGCAGATGGGGAGGTGAGGGACCGGGGGACGCTGGCATCGGGGTTATCTGGTCCCTTGCTCCCTAAAGCCCAGATGGACACCTGCCCCTAGCATCAGATCCTTCTAAGCTCTCCTGGGTGCAGGGACCGTTCCCCGGGAAACAGATCCCGTGGGGCGGGAGCGCCCAGCTCTCCCGTTGCTATGGTGAACCCAGATCCCACCCCCACCCCCGTTTCTCGCGGCCTTGTTGCTGAGAAGGCAGGCTCCGCCCCCGCCCCAGCGTCTTGGCTCAGGAGCCCGAAGGGGTTAAACTTGAATCGTGGGGGGGGGTTCCAGGCGTTCTGGCCCCTCCTCCCCCCATCTCCAGTTCGGGCTCCCATTGAGGGGGTGCAAAGACGAAAGGGCCTGGCTTCCCAGAAGGCCTGCACATCAGGCCTGTAAGGACTAGGGAGCTAAATCCGGATTGAGTAGTGGGTGGAGGCCTGACTCCTGGACGTTTTGAGGGGGGCGGGGGGGAGCTCATGTGGGTCCAGAGGATACGAGGGGTCTGGGTTCTTAGATCCAAGCTCCTGCTGCCTGGTGGGTTCTACGTTCATGTGGGCAGGGCTTGGGGCTTTGTCGCCTAGGACTGGGCTGGATTTCTAGGACCAGGGGCTCTTGGAAAGACAGGTCCGACGATGCGGGTGGGAGGGGGCAGGGGAGTCAGACGATGGAGGAGCCCAAGAAAACCTAGAGTTCGGAGCGCAAGGGGCAGGCCACCTGGCTAAAAGGACCGCGTTTTCTGCGGTGGCCGTGCGGCGTCCAGGTCCAGAGGCCCGGTCCCGCCCCTTCCCCCATCCCCCTGAACCCGGCCGGGCCTCACCTCGGCCGCGCTGGGACTCCCACCGGCCAGGCTCCCGACGGCGAGCTGCGCGCGCAGAAGCAGCAGCGACAGTGGCAGCAACAGCGGCAGCGGCGGCGGGCCCCGGCGGCGGCCCTGGCCGCGAGCGGCGGGGCTGGCGGGCCCCATGTTCGGGCCTCGCGCCCTCAAGTCCCCTGAGCTCCCGCCTGGCCCAGCCCGGCCCCAGCGGTGACAGGAGCTCCCAGCGCCACCGCCACCGCCGCCGCCTCCTCCTCCCGCCGCCCCCGGGCTGCGCCGGCGCCGCCAGCCCCGCCCCGCCCCGCGCCGGCCCCGCCTTCCCGGCCAGGACAATAGCGTGGCGGCTCTGCGCACTGAGAGGCTCGGGAACCCCGGGAGGGAGCGTGCGCCAAGCCCCAGCCCCTCGAGATTCCAGGTGTCACACCCCACGTTAAGGCCCAGTCACCGGGCTCAGACCTTGGGCTCAACCGTTTTGGACTGTGAGCTCTCTCTTGGAGCTTTCACCCTTAGCCTTCTCTTCTGACAAACCCAGACGCCCACTATCAGCTTTGTCCTCCGAGGATGCCAGAATCCATGGGATGGGGAGTGGGGTGCGGAACCTCTGCATACATTCCTCTCTTGGGGTCCCAGGAATACAGACCTCCAACATCTCCCCAGACAAAAACATACAAGTGGAGTGTGAAACGCCGGTAATCCCTGCACTTGAGAGGTGGGGGCATGAAAAGAGTTTGGGGCTAGCTTGTCTGCCTGAGACCCAGTTTCAAAAGATAAAACAGTAAATTAGGCCTGCCTGGTCCCCTCTAGGCCTCTTATGTCTCAGGACCAGAGACCAAGTCCGCAGCCCTTTCATCCCCGGACCTAGGAATTCAGTCCTCCTGACCTGGTTGCCAGGTGTCTGGACCTTCAAATTCCCCATCCAAAAATCTTTTTAAAGATGACTCGGTCAGATGCTGGGCACTGTCACCTTCAAAGACCCAGCACCTTAGGACCAGGGTGTGGAGCTGCACCCCCTCCCAACTCAAGTCTTCTCCCTAAAGGTCTCTCAAGTGAGTATAGACTATTCTCTTTCCCTGGCCAACCGAGGCAGCCCGGCTCTGTGTGGACTTCTAGGTGTGTCTTGTGGGAACCTGCCCACCTTTGCCTGACATTTTGTTTTCAACCGTGTGTGTCGGTGTGGGTGTGGGTAAGGTATTATTAAAGGAGCCTAAAGTGAGACAGTGATGTACACCTATAATTCCAAGGGTGCTGAGGCTAAACTCTGTTCAAAGAAGATTCAGTGGCTAAAAACACTGGCTGCTCTTCTAGAAGACCTGGGTTCAAGTCCCAGTACCCACACTGTCTGTAACTCCAGTTTCAGGGTGTCCATCATCCTCTTCTGGCCAAGGGACCAGGAATATATGTGGTACACAGAAATACATGCAGGCAAAACACCCACACATGCAAAATAAAAATGATAAATCTTTAAAAACAAAAAGAAAAGAAAGTATCTACAGTAGTAAGCATCTAGCAAGGGGCTGAGAAAGGGTAGGATTTTCTCCTACAGACACCGTAAGGCTAGGGTAGAGGAAGGACTGACTATAGAACAATTGTCATGAACCTCTTCATGCATGAAAAACAGGAGGCTCCTCCAAGCACATTTGCTTCTTTTCCCTTCTTCTCCCTAATTAAATATTCTTAGCCCAAGAATCCCCTTTATTTCTTGTTTATTTATTCATTTATTTTAAACACTTATTTATGTATTATGTAGACAGTGTTCTGTCTGAATATTTGTCTGCAGGCCAGAAGAGGGCACCAGATCTCCTTACAGATGGCTGTGAGCCACCTTGTGGTTGCTGGGAATCGAACTCAGGTCTTCAGGAAGGGCAGCCAGTGCTGTTAACCTCTGAGTCATCTTTCCAGCCACCCCCCCCCCCCTTTTACCTCTTTTATTCCGACACCACCCCCACTTCTTGGATTCAGTTCCGAAAGGAATCAGGATAGTGGTCATTTTGAGTTCTCATAGAATGAGCAGCCATATTGCTACACTTTTATTGATCAAAGTTCCCCTCCCTAGGAAAGCCAGGACTGGGTGGGGAAATTATTCCTCTCATCTTGATTTGTTTTATGCTGTCATTGTTCTTGATGCAGATGGTCGCTTTCAAATATTTTCTGTACTGCCTAGAAATGCCTTCCATCCATGCCCCTAACTCCCATCATATCCTGTCCTTGCCTCTCTGCATTTTGAATGCCACCATTTTGAATGTCTTTCTCCCAGGAGGATAAATGAACACAGTGGTCATATTGCTTCTACTTGGAGCATGCCCTTTGGCTGAGCCTACTGGGCATCAATGGTCCTGACGGCTGTTTCCCTCCTTTGGGGTTCAGTTTTGGAGGACTCGGTCACCAACTCGTTCTGAGTCATCAGAACGCTGGACAGCACAGGATGGCAAGTCGGTGGTCTTGAGACGCTTCAGTTAGAGAGATGTCTTCACACATGCGTCTGAAGACGCTGGTGGCTGGGTAGAGACAGGGTAGCATAGGGGAAGGGGGGAGTCCCAGAGCTCAAATCTGGGGGTCCAAAGGATGTGGGCTTCATGTAGCTGGTGAAAGCACGGGGATGAGGGGTGGTGAGGTACCCGGCCCGTGCTCTGTACAGTCTGCAGGGGGGTACTAAGTCCAGGTGTGGCTTGAAGTCATAGTAAGTAGGAGTCCCTGGGAGTCCAATCGGAGACGGGGGTGGCAGGAAGAGGCCTCCTCCGGGGGCTTCCCCAAGGCTAAGGCTCACGCTGACTCCTCGCACCTTGTAGTAACCGTTGGTTGGATCCTGGGGAAGAAGAGAGACTTGGTACGGAGGAATGTGAGGGTGTGGGAAGGGAAGGGTGGAGAGACACACAGAGCTACAGCCAGACCTAGAGAGAGGCGGAAAGCAGGGACAGCAGGAGCAGAGACTCCAAGATAGCTGGGCAAAGAGACTCCAGAGACAGGGGAAGTGCTGGCTTCTAGAACAAGCTGGGACTGGCTGAAGTTAAGGAGGGAGGGAGGGGGAAGGAAAGAGGGAGGAAGGGAGGGAAGGAAGGATGGAGGACTTCAGGTCAAGAGAAAAGCATGATCAGGTATAGACAAGAGGCTTTAACTGCAGTCAGGGATGCAGTTCAGTCGGTAGGGTGCTTGTCTAGCGAGCTCAAGGCCTTCGGCTGGATTCCCAGTGCTACATAAACTCAGTGTAGTGGCACATGCCTTTAATCCCAGCATTCAGGAGCATAATCAGGAGTCCTAGATCATTCTTGGCTACACTCTCAGTTTGAGGCTAGCCTGAGGTACACGAGGGAAGGGGGCGGGGGCTTTAGACCGGGGGCTGGGGTTGGAATCAATGTGTGAATCTTAAGATGGGACTTCAAAGCAGAACTGTCTTTGGGAAATGTGATGTTAGGGAGGGACCAAGTGAGAGGAAGGTTCCCGGCTGGTAGAGAGCAGCCAAAGAGACACCTAGAGGCATGAAACACGGTAGATGGGGAAAGAAGGCCTGGAGACCAAGGCGAAAAGATAGACAACTTAAGCTGAGACTCTGCAGCCTGTAAACAGTGAGCTGCCCAGGAAGAACTAAAGGTAGTTTTTTTGTTTTGTCTTGTGTTTCTTTTCAAGGCAGGGTTTCTCTGTGTACAGCTGTCCTGGAACTCGCTCTGTACACCAGACTGGCCTCATAGAGATCCTCCTGCCTCTGCCTCCCACGTGCTGGGATCAGGGGCGTGCACCGCCACCTGGCAAAGGTAGGTCTTAAGGTGACGGAATCAAAAGAAGGGGACTGAAACGGGGAAGCAGCCAGGTGTGGTGCTGAGATCTGAAGTCCTAGTTTGTAGTCCCGGCACTCCGGTGGCCACAGGACAAAGACCAAAGCCAGCTCTACAGAATGGGACCCTGACTCCACCAGGCTTAAAAAGAGGAAGTGGGAAGAGGGGGAGACTGGGTGACGGGCAGTGAGCTCCTCCCCCCGTACTCACCGTTGTCTCCAGAGCCTCCTTTTCACCCAGAATCAGGTCACTGTGGTCGGGGTGCACAATGGGACCCTGAGGCAGGAAAAATAAATGGGAAGTCATGCTCAGAAGGTCATCTGTCCCACCACCAGACCCCACAGGCATTCTGGAGGCCAGGCTGCAGGAGAGAAGCTAGACTCAAGACAACAAAGAAGGCTAGAAGGTCACAGTGGGGGGTAAAGCATACTGCAGTTTTGAGGATGCCATGGGTCTAAGATTATCCGGTTAAGACTGGAACCAGGCTGGCTATAATGGCACACACTTTAATCTCAGCACTCAGGAGGCAGAGGCTGGAGGACCTCTGGTTTGGAGTTCATGGAGTGAATTGAACTGAGGGCCTTGAGCATGCTAGACAAGAATTCTACCAATCAAACCACATCCCTAATCCCAGTTAAAGCCTCTTGTCTATATTTGATCATGCTTTCCTCTTGACCTGAAACCCACCCTCCCTCCCTACCTCCCTTCCTCCCTTCCGGACTCAGCCAGACCTTGCTTGTTCTAGAAAGTCAGTCTGGTCTACATAGCAAGTTCTACGGCAGCTGCAGCTACATAGAGAAGCTTTGTCTCAAACAACAACAACAAAGCTAGGACTATACTTGAGTTTGAGGATGGAGTAGACTAGGTCATTATTTTGGTCTGGAAACACAGTCGAATACAGACACCCAGTAATCTCACCCTGTCCTCACTGCTGCCAGTCTCCTCCTCAGGGCCTCGTGAGCTGGAGCCATCGCTGCTTCCTGGGATCCGAACCAAGTTCTTTTGCTTAGAGAAAGAGCCTGAGGTCCAGGATGGTGAGAGGTGAGAGGCAAGTGAAGTCACATTTTGTGAAGACCGATACTTGGGAACAGAGCTGACTGGGCAAAACAGGCTAGGAAGCCTGGAAACGAAGGAGAACCCTGGCCTGGGACAGATGGAAAAGAGATAGGGGACCCGGAGTAAAGTGAGTCAGGGCTAGGGAGGGGACTTGAACCTGGGATAAGATGAGCCCTGTGCAAGCTTAGGGAGGCAGGAATGGAGCCAGGACCCAAGGCTGATACTTGCCATGACGCCAGCAGCAGAGGGCCACTCCGGTGATGACCATAAAGAGAGTGGTGGCTGCAGAGACTGCTCCAGCCACAATCCGTATGGTGGGCAGCAAGTCTGTAAGGAGCGGATGAGGTGTCCTGAGAAGGCTGGTAACAGGGAGTGGGGCTCAGGGACTGAGATCCCTGGATTCAAAAGACTGCCAAGTTTAGGATTTCCCCAGATGTGCAGTGTGCTAGGTTTGGTGTCTGAGGACCCAAGAACTGAGGGATTCACAGTTTGGGAGTATGTGGATTTAAAGTCCCTTGGTGAGTCACAGCTGTAATCACAGCACTTGGGGCAAGGCAGGACTGCCAGTAAGTTCAGGGCCTGCTTGGGCTGAGACCCTGTCTCAAAAAACAAAAAATCAGTAATAAAGGAACAGGACTGGCAAGATGACCCAATGGGTAATGGTGCTGAGTTCGATCCTGGGGACCCACATGATGGAAGGAGAGAGCTGACTCCTACAGAGTTGTCCTCTGACTTCCACATATGCACTGTGGCAGGAGTATGCCCCTCAATCAACCGATCAATGTAAGCAAACACCCTAACCTTAGAATGTCAGCGTCTTCTATTTTACAATTTCCCAGATTTGTGGATTCCTAGTATGGTATGAGGGTGTCAGATCTAGAACTGGAGTTACAGACGGTTGTGAACTGCCATGTGGGTGCTGGGAACTGAACTCAGATCCTCTGGAAGAGCAGTCAGAGCTCTTAACCACTGAGCCATCTCTCCAGCCCCCACTTTTCCTTTGTATTACATTTCAAATGTTATTGTATGTACGTGTGCGTGCGTGCGTGCGCACTACTGTGTAGGTATGGAGGCCAGAGAACAACTTTTGGGTATTGGTCTGTCCTACCTTAGGGGTTCTGAGGGCTGACCTGGGGTCATCAGGCTTGATGGCAAGTGCCTTTACCTGATGAACCGTCTCACTGACCTAGTTCTGAGATTCACTACGTTTGGGGAGTCTTTGCATTTGGGACCCTTATAGTTTTGGTGGCTTCCATCTTGTGAATCACTGTGTCTGTGGGATTTGAACTCTCCAGGTCTCAGGATCTTTGGGGCGGTAGCTTACCTCTGCGGCCCAGGTGGACCTCGGTTCGTCCCTCACCCAGCCGATTCCTGGCACTGCAGTTGAAGCCCCTGGTAAAGTCAGACTCCTGGGTCCCCGAAATGTGTAGCACGGAAATAAGGCCTGGGCCCTGTGCTCCCTCCACTTCCGGGGCTGGGAAGGTCTCCACCAGGAACCTGCCTAGTGAACCTGCCTCCAGGAAGCCCTCATCCCAAGACCAAACCTAGGAGTCAGAAGCAAAGGAGATCAACTAGGAGCCTGGGGAAATACAGAGGGGCTGGTGGGATGTGGGAGAAGATGTCAGTGTCAGGGGCCGGAAGGCAGGGATCGTGGCTGGTTTGTTAGACGGGAGAGGGATCTTCTCCTTACCACGGAGTCCGGCGCGGGGGAAGCTAACACCATACACTGGAGGCTTGCAGGGCCCCTGAGGAAGGCTGGCTCAGGGTGCGGGGCTGTCACTCTTGGGGGAGCTGGAATAGAAACTATGGACCATGAAACAGAGGTCTCAACCTCTCCAAAACCAGTTCTGAATGAGGCGAGGTCACTGTGGTTTCACCCTTAAAAACACAGGCCATTTTACAGACTAGGATAGGCTTGTGTCCCCTTCAACAGGTCCAACTCCAACACTCAGTCCCACAGCCCATAACTTCCTTTCTGAGCCACGGCCTCTGGGCCCACCCCCTACCCCAAGACACTCGGGGTCTCTCACCGTTCACTGTCAACCTCGCATGTGCTGTGCCGCCTCCCAGACCAGAGCTCCGTGGCTCAGCCCTGCACGTGTAGTCACCTGCATCCTCCAGGGCCACGGATGGAAGACGCAGCGTGGGCCCCGAGCTCAGCACCTGGCACAGAGAAGGGGCATCAGAGACAAGACCCGGGGAGGCAGCCCGGCCCACTTCCAGATACACTCACAAGTCCCAGGTCGGACTTCACCTGGGAGCTCCCGAGGCGGGTCCAGGTAATCCGTGGAAGTGGGTTCCCTCGCCAGGCACAGCTGAAGGAGGCATCTCTCCCCACGTCCACGGACATGGGCTTTGGTTTTGCCTGAAGAATAGGTCCATCTGGAGGAGCGAGAGGAGTGGGTTGGAATGAGCCCCTGACACAGGTTCAGCTACTCCAATACACTAGTAGGTACAAATGTAGGTATCCAGGCAACACCCTCCACTTGAGTCCCCAACAACAAACCCCGCCTCCTCCCTCTCCCCGTTAGGTTGCTCAGACCCAGCCAAACCTCTACTTGCTCCAGCCTCGCCTCCTAACACAACCACGCCCACCTCGGCCACACCCACGGCCCCGCCCCTGCTCACACTGGACTTCCAGAGCTGTGCTTCGGTTAGCGCTTCCCACCGCGTTGCTGACCTCGCAGGACACCGGCTCAGTCAGGAACGTGGCGTCTGCTACGACCTCCAACCTTGGCCCACGCGCCCCAAGCACCGGGGATCCCCCCTTCGCCCACCTGCGGAGGCAGTGGCGATATTAATGTCGCCCTATCCCTTCCTCAGGCTACCCTGCTAGAGACAAGTGGCATTTTCTTGTTACCTGTAGCCGGTGACAGGAGGCTGGGCAGTGGCTCGACACAGGAAAGTCACCTTCTCTCCCTCCTGCACAGTCTGGGGCTCAGCAGACAGAGTCACCACGGGGGGATCTGTGTGAGTAAGGCAGGAGCCGGACTTTCAGTCCCCAACTCCCCCCCCCCCCGTTATCCCTGTGTGTCCTCCTTCTGCCCCTTCCTGTTGCGTTCAGGCCCACCATGGTCTTTCCATGGCCAACTGCACTCACACTGCAAGGTCAATGTAACAGCTGTGTCCTTCCCTGTGGGCAGGGCCTGGCTCCGGGCTCTGCAGATCAAGGTGGCTCCATCATCGTGACTGGAAGGGGTCAGGAATAAAGTGTTTTCCACTGTCCCAGTGGTCTTGTCCTTCAGCGTGGTCTGGAGGTGATAGACAATAATAAGTTTTTTCTTTTGTGGACAGGGTCCCACTATGAAGCCAAGGCTGGCCTTGAACTCATGATCCTCCTGCTTCAGTCTCCTGAGTGCTGGGGTTATAGGTGTGTATTACCACATCCCATGTTAACAATGATTTCATCTATAGCTTATCAAAGTAGTGCTGGCAATGTATTGGATACTTTTAGACATTCACGTGTTTAATTTAATTCCTCATATTATCCTATTAGGTAACACTATTATTTTTTTCCTATTATATAGATAAGGAAACCGAGGGACAGAGAGATTAAACACCATATACAAGAGCGAGTAATTAACAAATGACTGAACCAGGAAGGCTGGCTTTTGATCTGAATCATATTTCAACCCTGAATGTCTGCCATTCCCTCTAGTCTGTGATCAGAGTGGCCCCCAAGTCTCACTAATGAGCAAAGAATGGCAAAGCGAGTCAGACCCAACCTGGTGGAAGGTGGTCCCATCCAGCCGGATCCCATCTCGAAACCACAGCAGTTCAGGGGCGGGTTGGGCATCCCCTCGACTCCGACAGGTCAGATTCCCAGGAACTCCAGCAACCAGAGACACGGAGGGCCCGCCTAGTACCTGGGGGGGTTCTGGGGGAACTGCGCGGCAGATCTGAGTCAAATTGCTTCCTGGAAGCAGAGCTCCTGATTCTTTCAGCTCCACCCACCACTCCCCTAGGGGCCCTACCCCCCCACACACACACACCGAGTAGTCCTAGCTGTCCCCACTCCGCAGCTCCCAAAGCACAAATGGGCTGGGTCCTCGCCCGCCCGTCCTCACCCATCACATGCAGTTGGGCAGGCCGTGACCGGAGGCCTGCCTGTGAAGCCTGGCACTCATACGATGCTTCATCTTCCAGTTCCACGGGCTTAATGTGGAGGTCATGCTGGCCACTGGCTGCACTCCCTGATATCCAGTATCGGGACCACCCTGAAGACAGAAGAGACCATACGGAATTCTGAATTCCTGGCCTTAAGTCTTTATCTCCAGGAATCCCAGAGAGCAAAGTAAGAACCACACATTCCATGCTAAAATACTTATATTAAAACGTATGTGCTGGGGCCAGGTCTGGTGGTGCACTCGGGAGCACGACAGGCACAGGTCTCTGAGTTCGAGGTCATAGGGGATTCTGGCTGGCCAGAACTACATAGTGAGACACTGTCTCAAAAAGGAAAAAAAAAAAAAAAAAAAAGTGTGTGCTAGATTCAGAGAAATTCTAAGTCTCCTGCCAATTTTTAGTAGCCACAAATTTGGAAAGTCAAATTCCCATCAAAGTTCGGTTAAGTCAGATGTGGGTGGTGCCTGCTTGTAATTTCAGCACTCAAAAGGCTGAGGCAGGAGGATTTCGAGTTTGAGGTCAGCCTGGCTGCAAAGGGAGGCTCCAACTCAAGCAACAAAACAAAACAAATAACCAAAATAATAGCTAAAACACTACCTTTCTCCCACCATAGTGGAAAGTTAAAGGGGGCGGGGTTCTGAGGAGCTCACAATAGCCTGTGCATTAATTACACGAGTGTCTGTAATTATTGGTAAACTGTCTGTGCATTTATATGATGTTTTAGAATAAAAAATGATAGTCCCCAAACATAAGGACTCGCCCTCCCCAAAGAATCCAATCATTCAAAAACTCGGGATTCGGTGGGAGCCCACCAACCTCCAAAGTTGAAACCATCAGATGCAGCCCATGCCCAGCCCCTCTGCGAAGTTGCCGGCCCTTCCCAGAGTAGAGAGCAGACTCACCTGGAAGGTCTCTTTCGCCCCCTAGAGCCAGCCCATCCTTCGTCCACTGCACGAGCCCCCGGTATGCGCCCAGAGCGCAGGGCAGCCGAGCTTCCTCTCCCAGCAGCACCACCATGTCCTCTGGCTGTTGCAAGAAGTTAGGCAATGGGCCTAGGGACAGTACAGCTGAGCTTAGATCAATGAGCCCCTTATTCAAGACCCAGGGGGGTACAGTCTCCAAAGCTCTTTCTCCTTCCTCAGGTCAGAACCGAGGCTTCCAGAGTTCTGTCACACCCAAGACTAGAAGCCCTTAGTCCACTTCTCCCAAACAAACAGGTAGCGGAGGGGTACCTGCAAGTCCTCTGAAGCAATAGAGGAGGACGAGGAGGGCGTGACCCAGCATCCCGGGTGTGTGTACCCCAAGATCCCGCAGGCTTAGGGTTGCACTGACTCCCCTCCAACTTCTTCCTTGACAGCACGCCTCTCACCACGCTGGACTGGAACCTCTTTCTGCACCCCGCTCTTCCCCGCCAGGATGGAAGATTCTGAGTCTAGCCTGGAGTCTCTGAATTCCTGCTCATCCACAGCCTCCGATACTCTCTGTACCGCACCGGTTGCAAGCCGGGCTAGAGACCCGCGGGAGGGCGGGATCCTACTCGCTCCGCCCCCTGAATACCCGCCCTCTTCCCATTGAGAAACTCCCGCGGCTTGCGTGCCAAAAGCTTTGGGCACTCTGGGTCGTGGGTCGCGCAGCAGGAGGGCGCCCCTGAGTTACCAGGGGGTCTGAGAGCTGGAACACCTGGGTCCAAGGAGGGGGACCCTGCTCGAGTTGGACACCTGCGCCCTGCTGAGGTTGAATGGGAGGCGGGCATGAGGAGGAGGAGAGTGGAAGAAACTTGCTCAGCCCGGACCCAGGAGGGACTGAGCTGAGTGGAAACCAAGCTATAAATGGGAACCCCTGGGACTTCGCCAGTTTCCGAGCCCTGGGGAGGCGGGGCCCAGTCTCCCATGGGCCTGCGGGTCGGGGAGAGGGCACCCAGGTGCTAAAGGTCTATTTGGGAGCCATAAAAAAAGAGGGATTCAGCTCCCTACTTCCCCAAATATGCCCCCTGCTGCCTTGTTATAGCTGCAAGCTGTAACACACCCTAGGATGTAGGAATCCAGCCCCGCCTCCCGATTTCGTCCTTTCCCAGAACTCCGCAGTAACCACCGGTCCCCTCTCTCCGCCTAGCCGTCCCGGGCCCCTCCAAGTGGTTGCCAGGCGACGGCTGGGAGGCGGCAGTACGCTGACTCTGGCAGGCAGGGAGGCTGGGAACCACACAGCTTGTCCTGACGGCTCCCGCGCAGCCCAGCTGGGGCGTTCCCACGCTGCGCAGCTGGCAGGGCAGGTGGGAGGGTCCCTGAGCATACTGAAGGGTCTGGGGGTGGGTGGGGGCTGGGAGCCCGGGCCTTACATTCCTGGACCTATCGGAATTAAACGACATTCAGGGCTCAGGAGTGGTGTGTCTGTCTAAATGTCAGAGTGGGGTTCCAGGAGGGAGGGGACGGTTCAGAGCTCTAATGGCTGAGACTCTGATGGCCCTTGCAGCCTGCAGTACGGTGCAGTCGCGCCAGGTTCGGAATATCTGGTCTTGAGTCTTAGAGCTACTGGATTTAACAACGGATCTCACTCTCACTCACTCCCACTGGCCCAGGAGGATTGGAAAACCAACAGCTGTGCTGAGTCCTATAGGAGTGATGGGGGCAGGGGGAGCTCGAGATGAAGGCTCTGGGAGACCCCATGCCTGGCTCTGGGGAATCCGAACAACCCCCCCCCCGTTTTGAAATAGGACAGGCTTGAGCCCAGGACTTCGGAGTCTTGGGGAGGAAGTCAGGTGATGAGGTGTTTTTCCAGACACCTGACATAGCTTCCCTTCTTGGCACTCTGGGGCCACAGGCATGGAAAAATGGAGAGCCTAGAGTCCCCAGAGCATTCGGAGCAGGAAAACAGCCAAGGCTGAGTGAAGATTTGTACTAATTAAAGGTTCCAGCAAATGACAGCTCTACACCTTGGCCTCCAAGGGTACCATCTGGTAAAGGCCCCATGGCAGACCCTCCATCCGTTAGGTCTGCATGCAATCCATTTCCTAGGAGGTGTTGAGGGGGTTAGAGAAGGGAATGTTGAAGGAGGGTAATGAATCAATAATGGGCGTGGGTGAGAGAGAAAGACCAGAGGTCTCAGGCTTGGTAGAAAGCTGCGAGGGGATCAGGCCAGATGCCTGGTTGCCTCCTGGAGGAGAAGCCTCGGTGGGGTGGGAGGTTTGTAGGGCATATGGGGGATGGGGACAGTTGCAATTCCTGCAGGAGATAAGCAGGCAGAAAGGGCTTATCCCAGACGAATGCAGCTGTGCACCCGGGTTGGGAAGGCAGGCCAGCCAACATATGGTTCTAAAATTCAAAGGTCACAATCAGGCCCAGAGCCAGGGACCTGCATAAGAAAGGCACAGTATATATTGAGTTCCTGTTACTGAGTGACAGTGGGGGAGGACAGAAATGAGGAGGGGAGGGGGCAGAGAGAGGAGGAGAGGGAAGAGAGAATCAAAGAGATGGAGAAGAAAAAGAAGATAAATCACCCTGGCTAGAGAGACACACACAGAGAAAGTGGAGGGGTTGGGAACAGAAGGGCTCTCCCATGGCCTCGCGACTCAGATGCTCCAGCTCCCAGGGACCTCCCATTCTGTATTTAACTCTCTGAGCTCTCGAGCTTCACAACACTGGGGTCTGTGGACGTGGTCCTACTGGCTGTCCAGTGCTCTCTGCACACCCGTATCAGACACCCCCAAATGCTCACAGATGAAAATCCGACTCTCGACTCCCCCTGGAACACCCACTCTCACACCCACGTACACACAGTTGGCTTCCCTCTCTCCCACGGTTCCAAACAACATTCTTGCACATTCACCAGCCCAAGTGTCTGGTGCCAGCAAAGGGGAAGAACGGACTGCCACAGTCTGGGCTGCAAAGAGCAAGGGTGGCTGCGGCTGTGGTGGGGTGCCCTTCCCACACACACGGGCCCAGTTCTGTAACCCATCCCAAACTGGGAGATGGCCTGGTCAGACCTGCTCTCCCAGGCAGGACCTTAGGGTCACTGGAGCTGGGGAGGCACCAGGAATGTTCTTGGCATGTGCTGACAGGGGACTTCACTGCTCTGCTGGGCAGACTCAGGAAGGACTCAGGAGAAGCAGCAGTGTGCGCTCACACTGGGCCCAAGAAACAGCTCCGCACTGTGACTGACTTTCTGGGTTCATGAGCTTGCTAGACCCCAGAGCAGCCAAACAGCCAAGGAGCTGAGCGGCCAGTCCTCTTTGAGCCTGTGAGTGGGCGAGAGGGAGACAGCAATAGACCGTAAGAGACTGTCAGAGGAGAAAAGGAAAGAGAAAGTGTGCACTTTTGAGTGCTTGGGGTTGGAACTCAGAAAAAAAAAAAAAAAAAAAAAAAAAACAGTTGACAGGAGGAGCTATGGGCAGAAGGTAGACTGCAAGCCACAAAGTCTAGGAAGAGAGAGAGAGAAAGACTGAAAAACAGAGAAAGAAAGAGAGGAAAACGGAAGGAAGGAAGGAGGGAAACAGGACAGAGAGAAAGGCTCAGACAAGACAACAACAAACCAAGTGGCTGGCGATGGGCACTAAGGAAGTCACCGTCACAGGCCCTGGGGTGACCCCAGTACACAAGACTTCCAGCTTGACCCCCTTACTGCTCATGGGAATGTTGACCGCGGGTAAGTAGAATGCTGGCCTTTTAGTGCCCTGTGGCCCTCAAGTGCCACCTTTACCTTATTGTCATTTCCCTCGTGTCCCCAGGCCTGGCCCAGTCATGGGTCCCTACCTCTGTCCCTCGGGGCTTTTGGACTCTGTCTGACAACCTGACTGCTGTAGAAGGGACAACGGTTAAGCTGCGGTGTGGGGTCAGAGCCCCTGGCAGCGTGGTGCAATGGGCTAAGGATGGGCTACTTCTGGGTCCAAACCCCAGGATCCCAGGCTTCCCAAGGTACAGCCTGGAAGGAGATCCTGCTAAAGGTGAGCAGAGTAGCCGGAGCCTGAGAGCTTGAGCCACTAGCAGAGGCTGTGGCCCTGACCTTGGGGTTCCTTCTGCAGGTGAATTCCACCTGCTTATAGAAGCCTGTGACCTCAGTGATGATGCACAGTATGAATGCCAGGTCAGCCGCTCAGAGACCGGTCCCGAGCTCGTGTCTTCCAAAGTAATCCTTTCCATTCTAGGTATGGGTGAGAGGCTCCCCTCCAGGACCCACCAACCTAGCCCCCAGCCCTCCTCTTCCCTCAGACCCAGAAGTCCGAGCTCCCAAGCCCCTCCACCTTGAGCCCTGGGTACCGTCTCATTTCCTGAACTCTTGGTCAAAACTGTCACATACACCTCCCAGCAGTGGCTAAGCCCAGCCCTTCCTCAGCAGTTCCCCCCAAGATGCTTCAGTTGACCCCTGAGGCAGGAAGCACCGTTACCTGGGTAGCCGGGCAGGAGTATGTGGTCACCTGCGTGTCTGGGGATGCGAAACCAGCACCCGACATCACCTTCATCCAGGGTGAGTATAGGACAATACAACACCCAGACACGGGATGGGGTGTTCCTGCATAGGGGCCCCCAAATGCTATCACTGAGTACCGCCCCAGGGAACGAGGCCAACGTAGGTGCTGGATAAGAAGAGAACTGTGGGGAGACACCCAGGGGAATGACTGCTGTGGGGAGAGGGCATCAGCACTCAGAGGCGAGTAACAATGGCCGCACAGGGTTAGGAAGCTGCAGCTGCAGATGAGACAGGGTCAGGAGACAGAGAGACCCACGATGCATCCTGCGTGTGGCAGGACAGAACTGGTACCCCAGCTTCTTGTCCTCCAGAGCCAATATAAAGGGGTGTTATGTCCACCCTGAGGACTTCCAGGGCACGTTGCTGTACCTTGGAGAAAAGCCCAGCCTCTCTCTACCCAGCTTTCTTGTTGCCCCAAGGTGGACACACCGTCCCTGGAGTCTCCTATAATGTGAACGATGGGTCTGAGGACAAGCTCTTCATAGCAGAAGCCAAAGCGAGGTGTGCGAGCTAGCTGGGGTCTTCTCCCTGTGCCCGATCTCCAGGCTGTCCCACACAACCCAATGATGCAAGTAGGGAAATGGGTTGTAGGAATACCTGGGACCCAATGTTTCACCCCGACTGCAGTCTGTAGGCATTGAGTAAAAATATCAGGCTAGGTGAAGACCCAAGGCACCCTTGCTCTCAGTGTTAACCCTCCAAACCTCTCCCAGGGGGGCCCAGGCCTCAGAATAAATCAGGATTGAGACTTGGGGATTTGTGATGGGGATTTGGGATGCCCTCCTCTTCATCCTCGCTCCCGGGGTTTCAGATGATGACTCTGACTCCAGAAACCTCTATTTTCGCAAACCAGGGTGACTCCCCAGAGCTCAGATAATGGGCAGCTACTAGTCTGTGAGGGGTCCAGCCCAGCCTTGGACACTCCCATCAAGGTTTCGTTCACCATGAATGTTCTGTGTAAGTGAAGGGTGGGGTACTGTGGGCATGGAGGATGGGCATCCCAGCAGGGTTTGGG